AGGGCACATTACCGGTTCCGGTCAAGAGCTGAAGGGCCACTCCGTCCCATCGCGAAGCGTCTTCTGGCTGTCATTCTGGCGACACGGGGCGGGATCTCCTGGTCGATCCGGAGGCCATTGGAAGGATAATATCATATCACATTGTTCCCCTCCCTGACACGGGAGGCCTTCTGACCCGCGCAGTTGGCCCTGGATCAGCACAGGAACCCTCATTGACACAATAGCATCCCTGATCGCCAAAGGTGGTCCAATAATTGTCACACATGCTCCAGCTCCATGCTTTTCTGTTTTCTTCAGAGATATTGAAAAATTCCTGAACATAGATTTGAGATGAAATGGGGACTTCCGCTTGTATTGGCATGGCCAACGCATGTTCGTCTTTAAATGTTCAAGATTCAGTCAGAATTGATCACTGATAAAAATCTATGTAATACGGTTTTGAACATACGCGCCCGAAAGTCATAGCAACAACAGCCTGAACACCCGGCGTTGCAGTCTCCATAGGCCCCGTAGCGTCAGTCTGCTGTGACACTAGGCGATGGCCAATAAGCAAACGAAAAAGATAATGCATCTTGAGGAAGATGGCTGGTGAACTAGTTAGATCGGCATGCATATTTAAATGTGGTGCAAAAGTAAGCTAAAAACAACATTAATCTGAAAAATGGGGGGACAGCTAACACTGCTGGCCCACCAAAAGTGGGGGGGGGGATCGCCCACCCGCCCCCCCCCCCCTGTTCCTACGCACGTGCACACACACACACACAACACAAACACACGCACAGACACACATACACAGACACACACACACACACACACACACACACACACCACACACACACACACACACACACATATATATATATATATATATATATATATATATATATATATATATATATATATATATATCATATCATGATTATTCTTAGTTTGGTAAAGGGAGCCGGGCACGCAGCCAGAGCCTTGCCAAGGGGAGGGGCACAGGGTTGACGAAGGGCACCTTGATGGTGTGAGGCCCTTTCCCCCCAAAAAAGAATCGCCAGAAATGGCCGGTTCTTACCTAGGGCATGTTTTTATATTTCTATTTTACCTTAATGGTCTAGTGAGCTCTTTCTAATCCGATAGAGCTCGAAAGCTTTGTGCGAATTTTTATCTGGGTTCTAAAAACATGTTAAGCACCCGGGAATGTAGATTATAAATTGAAATGAACCATTAATGTGCATCAACGTGACCAAGCCATGTTTGTCGGGAAATGCTACACATGCAGCCAGAATGGATAAGTGGTAAAAATTATGCAAGGTAGTTTTGAGTATGCACGCTCGCAAATCTTAGCATCTTAGCAACAAAAACTCGACGTCAGGTGTTGCAGTCTCCGTAGGCCGCGGGGCGTTGGCCCGGCGGCAAATACTGAGCTAACAAGTGGTCGGAAATGATGATGCGTATGAAAAAGTATCTCTGAACGCTTTAAGACATCAAATCTTACATTTAAGAGGTAGTCCGGGCGTATATTTCACATGTACGACTTTGGGATTGATGATAAGAACCGATTGACCTTCACAACATTGCGAAATGGTGCTGGAATCTGGTTGTGGAACTGAAAGAATACAAGTAGAATTTATATTTTCCGTGTTACTGTAACTGTTGATATGTCCAGAGGACATTCTCAAAATCGTAAGAAATACGCAAAGCTTAGTCGTTGAACGACGCATGATGATTTAAATTTTAATCAAAAAGACATTCGTAATCATTATTTCACAGCGGTCGTATTCAGCGGTCGTATTTATTACACATTCAGCGGTCGTATTCGTGCACAGAGCGGCTGACACCCGGTGCCATTAGCAGTAGCCAACGCCGCTCAATGTTAGGGGACCTGCAGCCCAGTCCACTGCTGTCCTTGCTGCAGACCCGAGATTGCGGGCGCAGAAACCCAAATATTTTTATGCAATTTGTCTCACTAGCCGATTCTGCAAATGGATGAACGCTCTCAGGCAAACATGGGATGGCTTTGTTCGCTTTTGAACTAATACCGACCCAGTCCTTTCAACACTGCAGACCTCCCCCCCCCCCCCCATTTCTTCCCGGGCGAGGTGCCCACTTGAGTACAGTACTATCGGCAACACATGACTGTTCCCAGTAAACCGCTGAAGGACCCTTGCGCTCACCCGCGGGGTGACTTTCGGCTGCCATTTTGGCGACGCGGGGCGGGATTCCCTAGTTGGTCCAGAGGCCTATATATTGCTATCTTATATTACACTGTTTACCTCCGTGACGTGGGAGGCCTTGTGACCCGTGCTGTTGGCCCCAGATCAACGCACGCACCCTCATTGACACAACATCCCTGACTACCGAAGGTGGTCCATTAGTTGTCACATGGACTCCAGTGTCGGTATTGGGTCGAAGGGCCTACCGCCTCGTGCTGGCGGTCAAGTCCATATATGTCCATATATTTCGTAACTTTCCACAAGATCCAGTGGCTTTTTAGAAGTTACACGTCATCATTGATAAAAACGGGCATAAAAGAGACAATGTGAAACCCAATAAAAATAGCCTAACACATCACACATCGGTCAAGGGATCATCTCGGTGGATCACACTACTGCATTCACATCGTAGCATCACACACAATCGAATTCACACACGCACCCACTCATGTGCCAACATTCGCCTCACTCAGTAGCAACTCCAGAAGTTGGCGCTTGAAGCGGCCTAGACTCTGAACATTGCGCAAGTCGGGCGGCAGGCAGTTAAACAAATCCGATGCTCTGTAGCTAAATCGGCGAGTGCCAGAGTTGCTCACCGCTCGGGGGCGCCTCAGCTGGTTAGCCTGTCGCGTTTCATGCGTGTGCTCAGCACGTGTGAACATCGCGGCTATATCTGGTGGTTGACCCGTGAGTAAGACTTTTTTGAGCAAGCACACCATATGATATCTGACGAGCTGATTAGCACTAAGCCATCGTAGATCCTTTACAACATCCGATATTTGGTCACACCTTCTCCATCCGCTCACAACCCGCGCACAGAAGTTCACAAGTTTTTGCACGCGATGGAGCTGGGTGGCTCCGTGAGTACCATACAGTGCTATACAGTATCTAATGGAGGAAAGAACTAGAGCTCCGACAATGCGAACGAGGGTGTCTCTTGGGAGTACATGCTTGGCATGGGACAGGGCCATCGGAGCGCCCGTGGACCTGGCAACAAGCTGATCAATGTGCGGTTCAAATGTGAGATTTCTGTCCATCACCACACCAAGTTTTTTGACAGTATTGCTTTCAGTAATGACAGCTGACCCGAACTTGACATGCACAGGAGGCATATTACGCAGCATAGCCTTTGTCCCGAAAACTATTAACTGCGTTTTTGTTGTATTGACTTTCATAGAGTGGTTGTTGAACCGGTCCAATACAATTGACAAGGTTTTTTGGCAAGGTTTCGTTATTTGCAATGACCAAATGTTTGCGTTATTGCGGTACTGAACTCCTAGGTCACAACTGAAGTGCCCCTGAGGCACAGCCGACTTAACGCAGCGTGACTTCCGGAAAATGTAAAAAATGCGAGCCGCTGCCACCAGCCATTGCAGGAATCTTTCAAGAGAAGTTTGCCTGCGCCGCTGCAACACGCAACCACTCGTATACGCACATGCATACGCGAGCGGCAAACATCGATATCTCA